CTAAAGCAATCTGGACAAAAGGAAACTAAGACACATTACACTAAGCCTAGGGAATGAATGACAATGCTGCAGCTAACCTAGTCAGACAGAACGTTGAAAGAGAATCGAGTTCAATATTTACATACTTGACTGCGGGGGGAGATGAGAGTTTTGTTTCAAAAAAAATATTTGGCCGTTTCTGTTCAATCACATTAAAAACATTACAGAACCACCACCCAAACAAACTGAACTCAAATTCAACACAATGGCATGTGTTTTTCAACCAGTAATCAACACCAAGAAATAGCTCCCTTTGGTTACTAAAATCCTGGAAAGAAATCATAATTACCCCATGTGGGAATATGGCCTTTAAAGCATGAGTACTTCAGATAGAACAGTCCATTTCTAATCCCACTTCTCCTGATTTTCAGATTCATTGAAATAGAAAAAAAAAAGTAAATAAATGCTTTCATGGATGGGAGATTTCAATCAGGTTTGTTTAAATCAACAAGTTTAAATCAAGTTCTTTGAATTTAATAAAAAGTATACAGTAATACTCTATATCAAATGTCATAATTTTTAAAGTAAAAGTGTGGTGGGTTCCAGCTATGTAGAATAGGGGGGAAATGTTTTAACTTCATAAGCATACCGCTTGGCCCAGCAATTTCACTCCTGAGCGTTTACTGAAGAGATACGAAGACGTGCGCACCCAGTGATTTGTCCAGGAATGTAGCAGCTGCATTTACAATAGTTAAAACTGGAAATAACCCAAATAGCCATCAATAGAAGGAAGCGATAAACCAAACTGGAGTAATTCCTAGGATGGACAATGGCTCAGCAGTAAATTGAAAGAAACTACTGAACATGGAACAGTATGAATGAAACCTATGAAAATTAGACGGAGCTAAAGAAGCCAGACACAAAAGAGTACATGCTATATGATTCTATTTTATGAGGCTCTAGAAAATGCAGAATTAATCTGTGATAAAAATAATTAGAACAGTTGTTGTCTCTTGATAAGGGACAGGGATTGCCTGGGAAGGGTGCAGGAGGGAACTTCCCACGGTGATGTAAAGGTTCTATACCTTCATAGGGGTGATGGTCACGTGAGCCTATCCATTTGTCAAACATACAAAATAGTACACCTAAGGTATGTACATTTCAATGTATGTACACCCCCCTCCAAAAGAAAACCCCACACAGTGGAAATGGGTGGATGTGTGGGTGAAACATTCAGCCACTGTTAAAGCTGGGAGACCAGTATGGGCTTTTTAAATGCTGTTCTGTTTACTTTCCATGTATTTGACATTTTCCAAAATAAAAAGGCTAAAAATATATATCAGCGAAATGTACAATCAAAAATTTTATACCATGAATATGTATCTCTCAAGAAGCTTTTTCTGCATCTAGAAGACATTTATAAAAATGCATGGAGGTGCCCTGTGTCTGCACTTCATGTGGAGAATTTGAAATGGAGCTCATTATTTTCTCCAGCTCCCCTCACCCCACCCCCAGCAGGCCTCCCATCTAATGGGCCATCAGAGTGAATAGGATATGGTTTCTCAGCTACCACCAGCCCCCAAATTAATTCTCCCCGATCTCTCAAATATTTATTTCTAACAAACACTGGGGCAGATGGAGAAACCCGAGCTACTGCCTACACTGCAGAAAACAACTGATTTGACAGACCTCTCTTTATTCCCACTGCTCTCTCAAGATGGTGTTTTATAAGTTAATGAGAAAAGGAAAATTCACTTTTTTTATGTTCTGATTATTTCAATCTCATATTCCTCATTTCTCAGGAATACAAAAAAATATAAATTTTTAGATTAATAATATCCAGAGAATATGAATCAAAGTCAATGCTCAATTTCTCTACTACGGACTGACAAGGCTCAGTCACATACCAGTCACTAAATATGCTGTATTAGTTTTCGAAGTTTTGCCTGTGACAAGTCCTATAGTTCTTCACATAACGTGTCCAAAGAATCAGAAGCGCCAGAGTCAAAGAATTAACTCAAGCTCCATAACAGCTATTTAAAGGCATATTAATACCTCCTAGGTCATAAGAGGATTATAAGTGCACTTGGGCGAAGAATCTTGACAGGATGTAATAAGTGGACTCAAGTATTGGCATCAATCAGTTCTCTATAGTAAGAATAGGATAAACACTGAAATTCGCTGAAACTAAAGATCTAAACTTCACAACCTCTACTTACAAATATTTCTACCTAACATTTATTTTTACATAGCCCCCACTACATTCCAGTGCAGAATTTCACAAGATAATTGAAATAGCAAACACTCGGAAAGATCCTTGATGCCAGAATTTTTGTTTATTCATTTATTCATTCATTCACTCATTCAACAAATTTATCCATGCCTATGTGCAATAGATGCTCTTCTAGGTCCTCGAAACATATGGATAATTTAACGTAACAGTGAACAGAACCAAGTTCATGTCCTTATGGAGCTTATATTCTAGGGGGAGCCGAGGCAGGTTTATAGGAAGGGCTGAGGGTAGTAAGTGCCATGGAGAAGCAGTAATACAAAAGGGCATGCAGATTACTATCTAATAGAGCTGGTCAGGAAAGGCTTCTTTGTGTCAGTGACATTGCGCAAACCTGAAGAAAGTGAAGTTCCAGAATTCCAGGCAGAGAAAATGGCAAGTGCAAAGGCCCCATGGGGGAGCCCACTTGCAAAACGAAGACACAGGGAGCCAGTGTGGTGTGGATGTACTGGAGTGAGTCAGGGTCCAAGAAGTTAGAGATAGGAGAGGGAGGGGCACAGGGAGAAGCTAAGCCTCGATGGGCCATTTTCAGCGTCTGGGCATCTAGTGTGAAAGAGCAGGGCAGCCACCAGAGGACTGTGGGCAGGAATGATGGCAGAAATGATCCTACGGAATGTTTTTCAAAAGATCACTAGCTGTGAGAGAACAGACACTAAAGGAACAAAGGTTGAAACAGGAAGACCAGTTCAATCCAGGGATCACAATGTGCTCAGAGGAATATTTTAACTCGTTTGTTTATTGGTTGTATTTCGTTATACGACACAATATTCCAGTAACTAAAATCACAATCAACTGAATTGCTCTCTTGTTTGCCACTGGCTTTGGGGAGTTCGTTTTTGAGGGAAAAGCAAGAGTCATAATCCGTTACTTTTCAGGCTCTAGTTTGATCTGCTAGACAGTGATTCCTTTATTTTGATTAATCTCATACATAAATAAGACAAAAACTGCGAGTTTCCCAAACAACCTTTTTCGAAAATATTTTCACAAATATCAGAAAACAAGTATTTTAATTTGCAGCTCAATACAAAAGGTGTCCTATGATTGCAGTTTTTCATAACCTGCATCACAACATACACCATAGTAGTCAAAACCCGTTTAACTAATATTCCTGAAAGAAGATATATCAAAATAAAAATACACAGCAAACCACAGAATCCATCAACACTTTCTCAGAATTCTGTTTTGTCACTGGTTTCTGAAATTCCTCTCATAATGAAGACAGGTTCTCAATTGCTCTTCTATCTTTAATTTCCTTAAGTTTAGCAAACAGCGCATCTAACAACAGCCTCGCCCAAACCATGTTGGTAGCACTTTCAGTTATAAAAGATACCTAGGAAAACCATCATATACTGCATATCTTTCAGGACTTCTAACCACGCTTGAGTGTTAATTGGTTTAAGAGGGTGTCAGAAACACACGCTTTCCTGCACACTTGGTGATTTCATCCTCTGCTCAGAGCACTCTGATAAATTAAATCATCCTGTCATGGACCGCAGCTGCCATGCCTGAGTAGTGCTCTTTGATGATGAGCAAGCGGTACAAAATAAAGAGGCTGATTCCACTCTTTGAAATCTCATTTTCAACATCTTGTATATTACCAGCAGGATTTTAAAACAAAAACAAATGTTAAAATATAATTCACTTTGGTTTTGCAGGAAACTAAGCCCACTTGCCAAAAAAACTGATGGCTTTTTTTTTTCTTTTTAAAAAGCAGGCAGCCCCTACGGCAGGGAAGGGGACGGGGTGGGGGGGGGGGGGGGTTATTAAAATGGATAGTCCAGCTTTCTCTTTACCGATGGGGGTTTAAGGGGGGGGGGCGGGAACTGAGGGACTGTTACAACAGGCCACATAGTCTACTGTATATTTCCGCACCCTCACTGAATAGCGTCAAGAATCTGCCTCATTAAGTTCTACTAACAAGTAAGGAGATTCCCCTCTCTGGAAGCAGCCTTTGCTGTACTAAAATCACTACAGACTTTATCTTATCTGTCCACCTCTTCTTTTCCCTTTTCCTTCAATTACAAATCCTGTTCCATTTTATTTCATCTTATTATTTTGAAGGAATTCTTGCAAACTGACTTAAACCCTTCCTGGGATAAGAAAAGCCAGAAATGAAAAATAAAATAAATCAAGATTTCTTTCTCCAGATCTAAATTTAAATAGAGCAGGCGGGGCGAGATGATGAAAAGGCGTGTGGGTGTCTATTGCAAGATTTTTCAGTCTCTAGGAAAGAAAAGGATAAAGAACAGAATACGAAAGGGATTTCAGGTGTGTGTGTGTGTGTGTGTGTGTGTGTGTGTGTGTGTGTGTGTGTG